AGTTGGCAAGCCAGAGTAAAGTTAGCTTTGGCTATGTAATAAGCAGTTTGTAGAGGTGAGCTGGTGGTTGGAATCATCAGGTCAGAAATGCTTCCTTTCAGAGCATCAACCCCCAAAGCCAGTGCAAATCTCTCAGTGATTCAGCTGGAAAAGCAAGAGTAATGAGTGTTGGTAAAACTGATCATATCCATCAAAGACAGCACAACCTTGGCTTTGTTGATACATAAGGCATTCAATGTAACATTAGCAAAAGAAGAAATAAATTTCTTCTTGAAGTGAAAATGTTTAGGATTTTTAATTTTTTATTTTGACTTATTATGATCATGGTAATTGTCAACTTGGCAGGATGTATAGTGGAGACAAGGAGCCAAACATCCAGACACTTCTGTGAGTGACTAAGTAATTTTTACGGCTGTAATCATGCCTCTGAGGAATTATGTCTGTTGGGATAGTTTGGTTGGAAGGTTCACACTAAAAGTGAATGGAGTCATTCCTTAGGTGTGGTTTCTGTACCCTCTAAACTGGAAGAAGATAGCTGACTAAAAGTTCTTATTGTTCTCAACTTCCTGACTGGATACTAGGGGACTGATTGCATCCCTTAATCTCTTGACACTTTGTCCTTCCTTGATCAACTGTAACCAAAACAAATCCTTCCTTAAGCTGAATTTGTCAGAGCATTTTATCACAGCAATACAAAAAAAGAAACTAAGATAATAATTTTTTTTAAATGTAAACTAAAATGTTGTGATTTGGAGAGGAAATATGCTAGAAAGTAAGATCCTGTTGCTTAATAGCTGACCAGTCCCTGAGGCATTTTCAAGATGAATTTGAGGAAAACTGTTTTCATAAAAATATCAAGAAAATATTTTCCTTTTTGAGTGTTTGGTAGGCTTTGCATCCATAATGACCCTAAAAGACTCATGAATCCCCAGTCCCAGGCTTGGGGAAATAATTTGAGGACTATAGAGCCTTTTGGAGTTGTGGGGGCAGGCTGATGAGAGTAGGTCAGGGAAGGCAGGCCTTTGAATGTGGTAACCACTATCAGCCTCCCACACTCTCTCACATGACAACTCTTCCTGTTTACCCTGGCATAATTTTTATGCCTTTTCCTACCATGATGAGCTTGAAATATCCCAGCAACTCTAATCTAGAGTAAACCTTTCCCTCCATTTTTTTCAAGCAGTTTGGTCATGGTACATGAAAGAAGATAAAATACTATTCTTCATGCACTCACAGTGTCTTCATAGACCTTATCATGTGATATAAAAAGCAGAATTGCAGTATGAGAGCACATCTATTGCAGTAGATTTTGAAGAGATTTGCAAAAGTATAAAATCATGACATTCTTCTAAGTATTTTATTTGGTAAAATTATTTTTTGTTAACACACATTTATTCTATAACGTAATGGGTTTCAGTGTGACATCTTCAGATATTCATATAATATATTTCACTATGACATCTTCGTGTGTATGTCTGTGTGTGTATACACAAATTGGAGGTTTCACTGTGACATCTTCATATATATATATATATATATATATATATATATATATATATGTATATATTCCTCTTCTCTCTCACACACATACACTTACATATATGTAGATATATATTATACTCTAATATTACCACCCTACTATCCTCTTGTTTTTCACACTTCCATGCCTCATTGCAGATAGATAGACAATAGATAGATAGATGATAGATAGATAGATAGAGATATAGATGATATAGATAGAGATGGATTCTACTGAATAAATTTTTTGACAGTATTAATAACTTTTAAGAGTGTAATTCCTAATTCCAAACTGAGAATTCATGTCACAGGACTATATAGCAACATAAGCAAAGCTATATAGATATATGTTGTGGTTTGAATGAGAATGCCCACCAAAGGCTTTTATGTTTGAATGCTTGGTCCCCATATGATAAAACAGTTTGGTAAGGTTTAAGAGGTATGTCCTCATTGGAAGAGGTGCATCACTAGGGTAGAGGCTTCAAAAGCCCATGCCATTCCCTGTTCTCTTACTCTCTAGAATCCCTATTATATTATTTCTTTTATAAGTTGCCTTGGGCATGGTGTTTTGTAAGAGCAATGGAAAACTGATACAAATGCTTATGGATGGGGCCTCAATGGAAGACAGTCCCATGGGCCCACCACCTGCTGGCCAACTTAGCTCTCATCTGGACCCAGATCCAGCACTTGAGTCAGTGTACCCCCACATCTGCTCCATCTATAAACTGCTGGAGTATATAAGGAATCCTGTTCTTCAATATAGACTGACACAGCAGTCTCAAGCTTAAGCATTTCTGAGCACAGATTTTAAGTATTGTCACCACAAAGAATGATAAAGATATGACATTGTGACATCTATTTTTTACTTAGATATTTTATATTATAATCAAATACTAAAATATTATGCTGTATACCATAAGTATATACAATATTTAAAGAGTCAATACTGAATTCAAGAGACAGGAAACACTGGTACTTAGAATATTCTGCACATTTTTGTGTAATGTTTCCTTTGTGGTGGTTGACATTTTACTATATGCATTTAAAAACATTCTTCCAGTTTTTTTTTAACACATTAGGAGGCATCCCAAAAGTCATCAGTGGAACCCTTGACAAGACAAATGCTCCCAACATCCACATGCCTTACATGATGGCACATGCTGAGTTTCCAGTCAGGAAATTCCTCAGTAACAACTAGAATCAACACACTTTCATTGACAACATGGGGTATTTATAAAATATTAAGTGACCCATAGCCCTGTAGCCTCTTTGCACTAACCATAGGGAGTTATCAGGTCTTCTGCTTTCCTTTTAAATCAAATGATTCTCATGGCTTCCTGACCACACTTCAGTAGTTCCCTGTTTATTTCATACCCTCATGCGTGATGCTTCATTTTAGTAGTTATCATATAAATTTAACTGGATGATATTCTGGTGTAACACAGATGCTGTTACCTGGGAACACAAACAGCAACAAAATGGATTTCCAGTATGGAAGGAAAGATGTAAGGAAGCATACATACCCATTTGAAACAAATTGTATTTAAAAAACACTAACATTAAATATCCCTGTTGAGCATTCCACATACTTTCTTTTTATTTTAATTTTTCATTATTATTTATTATTTTTTTGTTTGCCATGTCTACATTTGGAGGTCAGTTGACAACTGTGTTAAGTTCATTGACTCCTTCCACTTTTATAGGTTCTGAGGAATGAATTCAGATCTTGTGGCAAGTGTGTTCCCCATCTGAGTTATCTTGACAACCCAGCTAAACTTTTCTTTACATAAATTTTAATTAGTGCTTTAGTCAATACAGAGGTAACTCATGTTTTGTTTTTGTCATGATTGACTTTTTTTCTTTTTTTATTGGATATTTTATTTATTTACATTTCGAATGTTATCCTCTTTCCCGGTTTCACCTCCAGAAACCCCCTGTCCCATCTTCCCTCTATTTCTGTGATGGTTCTCATCCACCTGTCCACCCACTCCCTCCTCCCTCCTGGCATTCCCCTATACTGAGGCATGGAGCCTTCCCAGGACCAAGGACCTCTCCTCCCATTGATGTCCAACAAGGCCATCCTCTACTGCATATGCAGCTGGGACTCTCCATGTGTTGGTTGGTGGTTTAGTTCCTAGGAGCTCTGGGGGTGGGGGTGGGGGCTCTGGTTGGTTGATATTGTTGTTCTTCCTGTTGGTTGCAAACTCCTTCAGTTCCTTCAGTCCTTTCTCTAACTCCTCCATCGGAGACCCCATGCTCTGTCCAATGGTTGGCTATGAGCATCCATCTCTGTGTTTGCCAGGCTCTGAAACAACCTCTCAGGAAAAAGCTCTATCAGGCTCCTATCAGCAAGCACTTCTTGACATCCGCAATAGTGTCTCAGTTTGGTGTCTATATATGGGATGCAGCCCCAGGTGGGGCAGTCTCTGGATGACTTTTCCTTCAGTCTCTGCTCTACTCTTTGTTTCTGTATTTCCTCCCATGAGTAGTTTGTTCCCCTTCTAAGGAAGACTGAAACATCCACACTTTGGTCTTCCTTCTTCTTGAGTTTCATATGGTCTGTGAATTGTATCTTGGGTATTCCAAGCTTTTAGGCTAATATCCAATGATCAGTGAGTGCATACTATGTGTGTTCTTTTATGACTGAGTTACTTCACTCAGGATGATATTTTCTAGTTCTATCCATTTGCCTAAGAATTTCATGAATCCATTGTTTTAATAGCTGAGTGCCATAGTGTAAATATACCATACTTTCTGTATCCATTCCTCTGCTGAAGGACATCTGGGTTGTTTCCAGCATCTAGCTATTATAAATAAGCCAGCTATGAACATAGTGGAGCATGTGTCCTTGTTATATGTTGTAGCATCTTCTGGGTATATGCCTGCGAGTGGTATATCTGGGTCCTCAGGTAATACTGTGTCCAGTTTTCTCAGGAACTGCCAGACTGATTTCCAGAATGGTTGTACCAGCTTGCAATTCCACCAACAATCTGCTGTCACCTGCCTTTTTGATCTTAGCCTTTCTGACTAGTGTGAGGTGGAATCTCAGGGTTGTTTTTCCCTGATGACTAAGAATGTTGAACATTTATTTAGGTGCTTCTTGGCCATCCAGTATACCTCATTTGAGAATTCTTTCTTTAGCTCTGTGCCCCATTTTAATAGGTTTATTTAAAGAACTCAAGTAGTTAGACTCCAGAGAACTAAATAACCCTATTAAAAATGGGGTACAGAGCATGGTTGATATTTTACCAACCACAGTAAGTGTTATGCTTCTTAAATAATGTTCATAGCTTGTGAGAAAGTCATTGCCAAGTTGTATGGGAAGGTGGCTGATTAGAAACCATAATCTCTTCCTGTACCAGACTGCAGGAGCTCCAATGGCACAGCAAACAAAAGAGACAAGATCAGATAAGTCTCCTGAACATCGGCGAAGCCTAATGCCAAAGTGAAGCCTCCAAGAACAAACGTCACAACACTGACAATATCTTTGAAATTCATTGCTTTATTTTTGTGTGGCATGTAAATCATGGATGTCTGTGTGAACTGTCATTATTATGTACATGAGATATGGTCAACAAATAAAATTTATACACTTTAAAGCACACTTCTATAAAAACAACTTATTTTGTACATCCAAATCCTTCCTTCAGCTCTCTCTACTTAAATCTTCTTCTTGTAGCCTGCCTGAATGTTAACACTTTCTCCAACCCATTACTCTCCTTCCAGTGAGTTGACTCCTCCTTTCTCCTCCCTACAAGGCTCCCTCCTGAGGATGACTATTACTCTTGCTGTTGACTACCTTTGCCTCACATCCTTCCTGCTTCTTTCCTTTTCTGTTCTTTTCCTTCTTCCTCCATTATACTCTGAGCATATTGGTCTCCCCCACCCATACCAACTTGCAGAAGATACTTCTGCACACTTCTTAAGGTTTTGCTTAGCTTCAAACAGTAGCTGCCATGGCAAGATTTCTGTTGTATCTTTAGGACATCTGAATCTCCTCTCTCTCTCTCTTTCTCTCTTTCTTTCTCTCTCTCTCTCTCTCTCTCTCTCTCTCTCTCTCTCTCTCTCACACACACACACACACACACACACACTTCAACATGGATCACTTTCATCTTCATGCTTTCAACAAATGTCATATGATGAGCCATATATACCACACTAATTATATAGGTACATTACAGATTTTATCTTTGGGAGTCATATACACAAAATAAAATAACAAAATAAGACTATAAAATATCCTAGCCCTACTGAAAATGAAACAATTGATTAGATACAGTAATTATATAATTATGAAGTATAAGTAGTTTAAATCAGTTCATAGTATCTTGCTTTAAAAAAATTATGAAGAGCTCCATGTCAGTGACTTGAAATAATGCAGGCTGATTTTTTTGTCGGTCACATTGACACGTAATATCTGTTGAAAAAAAAAAACAAACAAGAAATGTATTGAGCATTTATTATCTAAATTTTTCTGTACCCAAACATACAGGGTGCAAGTCATTGAGCCACATGGTCTTGGTACCAACTATTTTATTTTCAGCTGAGGAGGATATTTCTTAATCCTTAGAGTGGAATGATTGTTCTGTGATAGAAATGATCCCATTCATAACCACTGAGAACAGGTGCATAGGCAAGCTGAAAAGGATGCCCTGTCTTCCTCTCTCCTGCAGGGGTGCTAGCTCCCCTTTTACTTTATCTTCTGATGTCTCCTCAGAACAATCACCCACTGCCTGGGAAGTCTAATATTTCTGCTTTCTTATACCAAACACTTTACAGAAGCCTCACCATATAAGCAAGTTTTAAGTTGTCCATAAATTAGTTCACAACAAAATAGGGGAAAGTTCTTTAACAGATCTTGTTAAAGGTATTTGAAAAGAAACCACAGTACAACAAAACATTTTAAAATTGTAAAATTGAAGAAATTTTTTTCAGGCCATGAAATCATAAATTGTTCACATTTAGTACACACACACACATACAGAGATTGAGAGAGAGAGAGAGAGACAGAGAGAGAGAGAGACAGAGAGACAGAGAGACAGAGACAGAGACAGAATATTATGGGAAGACCTGTTGTGATTTACCACAGCACAGAGTAACAGGTCTTGGGACTGAAATATTACATGAATCCTGAGTTTCTAATTTTAACTATCATATGATGAAAGGATGTCTGTGATCAATAATTTTCAAATTACTTCAAGCTGTACACATATCGTAGAATGATTGCCGTTATCTACACAGTGGGAAACATCATTGTTAACACTAGTATTGTGAGTGTATTGGCTACAAACCATTCAAAGAATGCTTTAGGAAGGAATTTGTAATAAGACCAAGAAAACATTGGGTTAAAATACTAATGTCTAATACATGTTTAGTGATCTGAGAGAAAAACATCAGACAAAAGTATAAGAATTATTTCACTCTTAAGATCTGTTTATTTTACTCTGTGTAGAATATAACTTAATTGAAAATCTTTTAAAATAAGTATTGTATCACATATAGCAGTGACACCAGGTACATTGATAATATTCCAGGTGAAGCTCAATGCCCAATACTAGTGGGCCAACACAAACTGGACTCAATGGATTAAAAAATAGAATGAGAAAGAAAACATGAAGTTGGGTGGTTAGAGAGATAGAGAAGGTTCTGAGAGGAGGTAGGGAAGAGGGATCAACATTATCATTAATAAAATGGTAAGTTTACCATGTTCCAATAGAAGGCCACACATTCTATAAAAAATTATATTAATTTCTAACTCATGTGGTTAAGGTATTATAAATAATAAATATAAATATATTATTATTTATATTATAAATTATTTATATTAATTATTTATATTATATTTATAATATAATATAAATATATTAATTTCCAACTCATGTGGTATAAGGTACTATAAATACCTCTTTATATTCAAATGTTCTTTGATACAGAGAAATTGAATATCTCTACCTAATGTTTTCCTCTGTAATATCATTTAAAATATTAAAATATTGAGATAGAACTCTAAGCCTATGGAAATTTCCAAGAGTTTCCATAAATTTAAATGGAAAAAAAATAAGTAAGAAAAAATTATTCCATTGTTTTGTCTTTTTCTTTTCTTTCCTTTTCTCTTTTTCTTTCTCCCTTTTTTATTTCTTTTTCTTTCTATCTTTTTTCTGCTGTTGTTCCTTCTCTATGGCACTTTCAGGAGCAAACCAACTCTTTTTAGCGTAGTTGATAATGCCTGACATTTGACAAAATATTGTAGCTTTAGCTATTTGAGAATTTGGGCCGGGCAGTGGTGGTACATGCCTTTAATCCCACCACTTGGGAGGCAGAGGCAGGCAGATTTCTGAGTTCGAGGCCAGCCTGCTCTACAGAGTGAGTTCTAGGACAGCCAGGGCTATACAGAGAAACACTGTCTTGAAAACTAAAAGAGAGAGAGAGAGAGAGAGAGAGAGAGAGAGAGAGAGAGAGAGAGAGAGAGAGAGAGAATTTGGTTTCTAAGACAGAATGAGAAACAAGTATCACTAAGGTTTTCAGGCAAGATGATAGATCTGGAAAGTGACCAACGATATTTTCAATTCCAAATGATAAACCGTGTCTTTTCTTTATCTCCACACTGTTCACAGCTGACAATGAACACAGTGGCTGGAGGGGCATTGCACACAGTATTCCCGGCTTTGGAAATACCACTGGGCTTTCCAATTGACACAAACCTGGGTTGTGGAATTGTAGTCAGCAGTGACTTCTTCATTCACATTTCTCCAGGAGATCCTCACACTGGTGATGGAAGGACTGTCTAATCCCCAGATTTCAATGTAGCCTAGATACAAGGGCGCTGTGCCAGTGATGTAATTGTTATTCACCTCATGTGTCTCCAATGTATTCTGCCAAGTTGAAAATAAAATGGAAAAGAAAATATATCAAAATAAGTTCAATTTTGTTTTAGACATAAACGTAAGTCATTTATGAGACAGCCTCAGTCAATATCTTCTGTTCTTAGATAGTGAAATCCATGACATCAGTTCCCTGTCCCCTGCTGCTTTGCCCTGCCCACTTTGCATGGTAAGCACCAGCCCAGTCTCTAGGGTAATGTTCTAGCTTAAGGATGTCCTTGTATGCTGTAAGTTACAAGTTTCAAATATCAAGAACTCTATATTCTACACATGGAAAGGTCACAGCATGTAAAGAACATTTAGAGACAGCACAGGAAGCAAGGCTAGATTACACAGAAACATTACCCAGCTGCACAATGGTGCATTGAAAACAGTCACTGATGAGACATGAGTAGGTTCAAACATTTCTAGGGAGCATAAGATACTCCTCTGTGGGGTTTAGAGGAAGAGAAAAGATAAGCAATAAAGAAATCTAGGAAGAACATACATAGCACCCTTATGAGATTCACTATTCTGCCAAGACAGCAGAAGCCTACACTCCCTTCATGGTGTCAATCACACTTACCTGGCTGACAGAAAACCTGGCCAAGTAGTACTTATTGGTATCTGCAAACAGACAAAGGGTCAGATGTGAGCTGGGCCTGTGTGATAGGCTTCAAATTGCTGACTTTCTTAGCTGAGAGTTGGACTTGTTTGTTTGTTTGTTTGTTTGTTTTTCTTCATTACAGTAAGTTTGCTTTTGCAATGGATGCTCTCTCTGTGGCAATTATTCAGGTTCTACACTCATCCCCAAATGGACACAGACCTTTCAAATAAGTGTGGAGATCCCTATGACTGTCAGCTATCGCAGATAAAAATCACCCAACCCCATTGTAAGTCCTTCTTCTTACACTCTATTTAGCCTCAAATCTCCCTAGTTATCTCAGAATTTTTAGATTATTTTTGCTAGAAGCACATATCCACACATGTAAATACACTGGTATACATGGAAATTGCTTTGTCTTGAGTGACAATGGGGTGGTTTTGAATGTGATCTTGAGAAAACTTAAAAAATAAAACTTTCTGGGAAAGCATGGTGTTTGGCCGTGAGGTGGAGATGATAGAAAAGTCAACTTGCTAGGAACCAGCTCCTCTCAGGGCTTTCTCTGCCTCCCCAGTGCTGGGCTCCTTCTCATTTACTCCTTCCTCCTCTGGAAACCACTGGCTTCTAAAACTGTCCTGCCCACAGCAAAAGGCACCATAAAAACTTAGCTGTACAAATTTAACTGAATATAAATTAAATAAAATAAACTTCAGTTTCTTGGATGCCCTCCTGATGACATTTTGAGTGTCCATTAGACACCTGTGCCTACAGCTGCTTTGAGCAGCAGAAGCTCCTTGTGGCTGAAAGTTCTACTGTGTAGTAAAGAGTACTTGAGTTGTCCTCCTAAGAGGTTTCCAACTCCCATAAACTCCTGATGGAAAGTCCCTCACATAAGCAGTGCATTTAGCACTGTCTCGAAGGGGCAACTAATCATGGAGAATGGTGTGAATCTCATGAAAGTTTATCTCAGCAGAAAGGCATGAATTTAAGATAATCAAAACCCTCACCCACGGTATGGTCATGAATTCCAGCCATCCCCTACTTACCGATGCTTTTTCCATCATCCCAGTAGAGCCAGCCCTCAGCAACTCCCTCATCATTCAACGCAGCCTTGAGGCCCATTAACTTCTGCCGGCTGTGATGGGAAGGGAGAGAAGCATTAGCTTAAACTGCAGTCACAGCCACAAGCCAACAGGTTTCACAGTAACAAAGGAGCGAAATGAAGTTTTTCCTGGGGTGGAGAGTGGGTTCTCAGATGAGAAGACCTTGAGCAGCAGCTCTACATGCACGCAGAAATATCTGGACCATTGCATGTCCTAAATGAATGACTTCACCAAAGCATCCAGGGCTCCTTTCCTGTAAGGCTCTCAAATTAAAAGCACATAGCTGACTTCCTTCTTTCCCCTTTTCTGTGGCTGTAAACCCCTTTCATGACCCATGGCCTAAAACACAACATGGAGGACAAATGGGTGAAGTTTTGAGGTGTGATATCAGGTCCACATGGATATCAGTGAGCAATTTCCATCATTTTCCTTCACATAACTTAATAACACCCCCCCCCTCATCTGTGGAGTGGAGATGATAGTGATACTCCACTCAGACAATTTTGTTTCTCATTGATAACAGAAAAATGGGAAATCATGAAACATCGTTCTTACTAATGGCATAGTCAGAGGCATGCAGCAAGATTTCACTTGAGATTGGTGACTGATGGATCACATATAAACTTAGGGCAAGCGCTCTTAAGTATTTTTGAGGTAAAGCAGCCTGAGGTATCAGTTGCCAGATCGTTAAATGTTTTCCAGGAATGGTTTATTCTTAAGGAAAGAGTTGAAGATTCTAAAAATATAAATTATGACTACGCCCATTTTAACTTATATTATTGCAAATGGCACTTCTAACCTGCAATTTCAAACACTCTGATCTAAAACAGTGGATAAAAGTTGTTCAGAGTTCAGAGTTTTTAAAAAGTCCAAATACAAAACTGCAAAACAGAAAATTCAGTGCAAATACTTTCAGATTTCAGAGTTTTACTCAAGGGATAAGGAGCTTTCTCCACACAAGAGTGAGCTCACTACTATGCAAGGCAGAACCCTAGCCCCACCCCCCAGCCCCGCTCACCTTAACTGGGTGTTCATGGCAGGCTCCTGCCAGGGCAGAATGTAGCCTCCACGAATATGAAGATTAATGTACTCAAGAGGGGCTTGCAAGGTCTTCCACTGTTCCCTTGCATTGATATCTACACCCTGTGGGCAAAAGGGAGATCACATCCAGAGCAGTGCATTCAGCAGAAATTCCAACCACCTCCTGAACTCATCTTCTGGTCCCCACCATTCAACACACACCATCTATACATTCTGCATCAACCTGCTGCATAGAAAGCATCCAAAAGACTTGTTTCTGTGCCTTTATCTTTGAATATATCTGTCTTGTTTGACACCTTTATTTTGCCTCATGTGGCATCTTTATCTTTCTCATGTGATAATTCTTATCTTGCCACATGTGAAGTGAATCCTGCTACATATGTGAGAGTTGTGCTTTGGTTTGATTTGGAAGTTTCATGTCCTTCTGTATTTTCTCAACTAGGCAGGGATACTTGGTGTTGGTACCATTGATAGTTTGGACCAAATAATTATCTGTTGTGAGGCTATACTGTGCTTTGTTCTGACTTGGGATGGTTCAGCTGTTTTAGGCAACCTGGTCATCCTCTGTTCCAGGAAAATCTCCATACCATACCAAATTTCATGGGACATTTAATAAGTATAGCATACTGCAGTCCAGAATTGATGGACTCAAGCAATTCCCCTGCCACAACCTACCAAGAAGCTGGAACTACAGGCTTGGGGTATGGTACTCAGCAGTCTTGTCATGGCCTTTTAAAACGGTTAAGCAATATTGTTCCTGCCTTCTAGAGGATAGCGGCACTGGATCTCCATACTTTACATTGTGTTTCCATAACAAATTTTGAAAAGCAAATATTAGCAAATCAATATGTTGTTAACTCCAAATGGGAAAGTACCTACAATTATAAATCCTAGAACTTAGCTAAGAGTTTTGCACTTCAGCAAGGCTATGACTCCAATAGTCTACTAAGAGGCCTAGGGTGCAAACTTTAAGGCATCTCCACTCTCAGGTTCAAGTCTAAGCACAAACAGGGCCGCCCTTCCAGTGAGGACTTCCCTTAAGCTATATACCTTGTGTGTCAACCTATTTAACCCTAGTAGAATCCCTGACACATTCAGAAGGACTGTTAAAGTACATGCCAATCAACATGCAAATTCAAGACCATGTGAAAGCCACTTAAGGGAAATAGCTGCTCTCTTCCTCCAAGGCCCTCATGCTAGATTGAAAGCTGACGCTTAGTGTATGTCCACCTGTAAGAGAAGCTAGATAGCAACCAAGAAGACAGGAAACAAAACTACTCAGTGCTGCTAGGACAGAGCAGCTATTTGTTCTTGCTGAGTTATCACTCAGATTCACTGCAATGTACTTGAATGAGAGAGGGTAGGGTAGGGCTCTGCTTCTGGTCTTCCTGCTCTTCTCAGGAAGTCGGGGAGACAGGCTAGTTAGAGAGCAAAGATGCTCCTTTCCTTCCATTCTCCCCTAAGAATTAAGCTCTCTCTGAAGTCTCTTCGAGACCCTTCTCTGCCAGCTTCTCTTCCATTATCACTCTCACCCAGATATCTACAACAGAGAGCCCCTTTATAAGTTAACATGTATTGTTTGGACATGTATTTTAGGGGTCACTTATCATATAATGATTCAGAGGAACTAGCAATGAGTACCTGTACCAGGAGTTCTCTTCCTTGGGTCATGAACCAGTAGCAAAACTACAGTTATGAAGTAGCAATGAAAATAATTTTATGGTTGGAGGTCACCAAGACACAACGAACAGCATTAGGAAGGGTGAGAACCACTAATCTATTCTATAGACACATATATTTATAGACAGAAGCAAAGGCCTCCATACTGGAAGCAAAAATTGGTTAAGGGTACATTTTCAAGAAATGACTAATCACCATCCTGCCTAGTAATGTCACACAGGAAGATAAAATGAGGCAGGCACTGATTGAGAGGATTTCCATGTCACATCAGCTCTCTAATCTTGCTCTAACCCCACTTTAGAAGATGATAAAACATCGGCCACAAGAAATAAATGGTTTGTGCCAGACAACTGCACATAGTTTCCAGGGAGGGTGTTTGGTGTGAGATCCGTCAGACACACAGAAAAAAATAGTACTGTACTGCTGTCAGGTTGTATAAACATTTAGAAACCTTACCGTGTAGTAGTCATACCAGCGGGCTCTGGGAAAATATGCTGAAACCGTTGTGGCGTTCTGAAATTAAACACAAACAAGGTGTCAGTAGTAGAACTTTCTCTAGGACAGAGAAACCAATATACATAGAAAGAAGTTACAACAGTAGTGACAGCCTTGAGTCTCATTCTCTTGTAATCAGCTATAAGAGGAACACTACTTCCTCCTACTTTCTTTAAATGGAAAGTGGTTTTTTTTGTTTTTTGTTTTTTTGGGTTTTTTTTTTTGTTTGTTTGTTTGGTTGGGTTTTTTTGAGGGTTTTTTTTTGGTTTTTTTTTGTTTTTTTGTTTTGTTTTGTTTTTTTACTAATGTCCCTTATAAGGTCCCATGGATTGTACACTCATGTTTTGCTAAGGAGCAAAAGAAAAACATTTCTAGGTATAGTAAAATCTGAGTAATATTAATGAGCTAGTCTTTACTCGGAAAGCCAATCATTCTCAAAGGATGATTAAAGTAAAAAAGATTTTAGCTGCTTTCAAGTTCTCTTACATAAGGAAGAGCTATGAGGTGACACAACTGCTATACAGCAGTTCACCCAACAAACTTAGTTTTAATGATGAGAGGACTGAATGCTTGCAGTGAATTCTTTCTCTACAGTCCCCACCTGACTCCAAGCCCCTTATACTAAATAAGGGAAAGCTTATATCTTCAAATATAACACAAGGTTGTTTATCTTTTTCACTGTCCTATGGAGCAGAATTGTTAGGATAACTTTAGAGACAGAGAATCTGAATGAGGTCCTCTAAGTGGTTAATTTTGCTGAGAAAGTTGCCATAATTTAGGGCTGATTTTTCACAGTTCTAAGAAAAATTGATGGAACCAGGATGAATGGAGAAAAAAAGGATTTGTTACAGTTTTGTCCATATCTGGAAAGAAAGAACTTTCTGTCTCTACCTTGCCCATAGCGGAGAGGTAACATAAAGAAAAGAGGAAACACACGTGAGGATCATCCATTTGGCTTTGAGTCCAAGTTATCAGAATCAGTGGTAAACCTTTCTACTATGAAAGCATAGCATGCCCTGCCCCAGAGCATCATGGGTGTCCTCACTTCACCTCAATTGCCAGTAGAACTTTTAATATTTCTTGGCTCAGTTATAAAAAGGAAAAAAAATGGAAAAGGTGGATCCCCAAACACACAGGCCTTCTCCTCTCCGTGTTTATCCAGCCTTCTACCTCAGTGGCCCCCATACTCACAAGCTCAAGCACAGGGCTGACTAGGAAGGCTGGACCCAGCAGGAACTGTTTGTCTATATTCCAGGTTTCCCGGTCTGACACAAACCTAAAAGAGGAAATCAAGATGTCACAATCAGATTCTAACAAGGCCCCAGCCTAAGATCCTACACTTCCTACAAGGCACTTCTCTCAAACCTCAGAAGGAATTTGGCCATACTGGCTCTATAAAATATTCCCATCCCTCTTCAGCACAGTATTAAATATAAAGACAGGTCTCATCCCTTAAACTCCCCCTTAAACACTCACCTTAGTGATATTGTTGCCTTTGTAAGCATAAACTACAGAAGATAAGATGGTTTTTGCATGTCCCAATAAGGAAGAAATTATGGTGTTTTACTTTTTATCTTTTATTTAAAAAAGACCTTCTAGCCAAGATTTGTTGTGTGTATAAAATTCAGTTATAAGAAGGAATAAAGCATTCTCTCTGCTTAGACAGCCAAGAACAAACTGGACTGATTATTTAAATTAATGAATATTGTTGCATTTGTTGTTTCAATTGTTGAAAGAATTGTTGCATCAATGCCCACCCAGCAGGTTAAATGAGTCACCCAGTTGGTCACCAGGATTCCTGCTTGACACTTACTCATGGAGAAGAGGCCGCACAACTGTGCTGCCCTCCTTGTGGGCTTTGTACATCAAGGTGTAGAGATATGGCAGCAGCGTGTATCTGGTCTCCAGCACACTTCTGGAAATATCCTCAAAGTTTTTATCCCAGGATACAGGATCTTGTCTCTACGGGAAAACAAACAGTGTTCAGAACCCAAAGGTTATCTCTCAAGGGACTTAAGGTCACTGAAAGCGAATATTTCTACACAACTAGACTCAAAAGAGTTGTGTGTGAGACCTCAAGAATATTCTTAGTAGTTGAAAAACAGCCACAGCTTTCTTAAGAAAATAACTCCATAAGCTATTCCTTATGGGACATAAAGAAAATTCTTCCTAAAAAGAATCATCATTAGTACTGAAGAATATGTTTCATAGGAATGAAGGCTTAATGTCATTGAAGATGTCCCAAAGAAACACAGACAACAGGAATGCGCTCAGAAACCAAGATGGCATTTCAGTGGCAGAGTATAGATGAAGAGGCTGACATCCTACCCTGGTCCCAATGGTGTTGTGGTTCCTGGAGAAGGGGTAAAAGGCACCCAGCTGCATCCAGCGAACACACATCTCATACTGAGCATCTTGAAAGAACCCACAGATGTCTGACCCAGTCTGAAACGACATAGAACAAAGTAAGCTCTTGGTGTTTTCTCAGAGACACTGTCATCTTCCTAGGGAAGAGGAGCATGTAAAGGACACTTACATAGGATATGCCAAAGAGGCTGAACTCCATCATGCCTGCAATGAGAGATGCAGCAGAGTCAGAACAGGACATCCTCTGCCTACTCCTCCACCTTCTCCAAGAATACTACTCCCATCCCTGCCTGCAGAAGCCCCTGGGCACAGCCCACACACCAATGATGGATTTCCCCAGCTGGTCCCAGGCAGCTGTGTTGTCTCCCAGCCAGTGTCCTCCCCAGCGTCCAGAAGAGGGGAATGTGGAGCGGGTGATGACGATCCCTCTCTCTCCTGTCACCTCTTGCACAGCTCTGGTTGGGAAATTAAGGAAGAAAGTTGAAGATAGGACAGGAAGGACCCAGGTTGTGTTCTCTTGAACCACAGGGCTTAGGATCCTCTGGCTGATGAGACAATAGTACTAATACTTTTTTTCCAGTAGTCACATAAGAACTTCACCATGTGGTAAACCCATTGCACAGTCCCCAAATATTAACCAATCACAAGACCTATCTGTTTATCCATTTAATGTTTGGTCTTCTTTAATCAGTGAACTAATAGATAACTTCCTTTACTAGACTGAAATTGTATAAGTTGTATACACTGAGGTCACCAAATAGGACTATGCTAAATCAGTAAGCTACCCTGAGATCATATAAGAATAATGGCTAAAAGTCTCAGTAGATATTATTCACTTTTAAAATAAAATAGATTATAGTACCCTGTTTTCCTTTGTCTCTTATAACCAATGCTATCACATCACTTGGTGCACTGTATAATAATTTCTTCTGTCCCCATGAACGTGATCCTCAAAAGGACAATTAATTAATTTCTCAATGATGAAACACTGTCATATTTAAACCTGCTTTATCAGTCATAACCAAAGATCTGTCCCCATACAGAAGTACTTTTTAGTTAAGAAATAAGACTTTCTAGACCAGTAAGTTTCAACCTGTGAGTCACAACCACTTTGGGGTTTGAAGGACCCTTTCACAGGTGTTGCCCAAGACCATCAGAAATAACAGATATTTATACTGCAACTCCTAACAGTAGTAAAATTATAATTATGAAGTAGCAATGAAAATAATTTTATTGTTGTGGGTTCACTACAACATGAAGAACTGTATTAAAAAGCCACAGCAATAGAAGGTTGAGAACCACTGTTCTAGACAATTAACCACTAAATTCTTCTTAATCTTTAGAATGAAAAATAGAAGGAAATATAGGAAAGTTATACCAGTGACTGTCCATACCCACTGATAAAGCCAACTGCAGAAAAGTGTCACACTTACTCATAGGTGGGTCTGGTCTGAGACCACCCATACAAGCTGTGTACATCATAGTGTCGCACTCGGGAACCATCTGGAAGGATCTGCTCGCTCTCCATGCACAGTGTCTTACTGCTCAGGCCTCTGTCCCTGCCTTCCAAATCTGAGGGAGAATTTAAGAATGAAAGGCAGTTCTGAATCTTCTCATTGCTGACCTCTTTTCTGTATTTCAAAATCTGTATCATAAGACTAACAAGACAACCCCTTGGTGTGTCCTTTTCCCTGGGAGCATGAGAACAGTGGTCAACACTGAACTGCAACATTCCTATGGATGATTTCAACACCAAGTCCACTGGAGAAACTGATGGTATGGGAAAGTGTGCAAGTTACCACATACTCTGGAAAAACTCTGAGCTGGATTGTTAATGTACAAATTGTTTCTTTCAATTCCTATCAGAATTTTATCCCTGATAATAGAGTTTTCTGAATCTTGGCATAGAAAATTGAGATTCAGAAGTATCATATAACCTATGAAGGTAAGTTATATACACAGCTCATAGAATAACTTCTAAAACTAATATACAACTATTATAACTTTAAATTTCCTTGATTCCTTAAGAATGGAAACCCCTTTTCAAATAATCATTAATAATTACATTTCTGTATATAAATTAACATAAATCTGAAGAACTAATAAATTTATCTGCTAGAACCCCTTGCAGACATTACCATTGTTGGATAACTTCTGTACTGACTATTGAAATTTGCCCAGAGTCTAGGTTCTCAAACACACACACACACACACACACACACACACGTATTTGTTTGTAGTTCCTGTATATCACAGCATCAGTGAGGACCTGTCCTTGATGGTGACAGTAATTTCTAACTGCTAGTTTCCAGCAGAGTTCATCTTTCCAGTCATTGCTCAGCTGATAGAGAAAACTCAGGGTCCTTACATGGCATGTAGGGAGGATGGTTCAGAGTAGCATCACTGCAGCCAGAAGGAACTGCCCCATTCACAAAGCTGGAAGGTTCATTCATATCCTACAAATGTCAGAGATGTGGTTTAACCATAAAGATAGTCACATTCTGTCAGAGACAAGGAATTAACGAATAAAGCAGCCAAACTCTAGTGATCCCTACAGATGCTTCCCAGAAAGAACCGTCATTCTCTGAGGTCAGGGGGAGTGGCTAGAAAGTACACCTCAACTCTGCACGTCAAGCAAGTTTCCAAAGAGTTTCCAGTAACCATCACCAAAGTTTTGCAGTAGGCATTTTAGAGGTCCTAAGAACTAAGGAGAATCAGAACTGCTCCAGTCTCTGTCAGAGGAAGTAAAGAGTGGTACACTCACAGTCTTCCTGAATGACTTACATCCTCTAGACTGTACAAAACTCCCCGATTATCACTCATACATACACCCACATCTATCCATGTGTACACATGCATACTTACAATCCACAGCCCATCAAACTTCAAGCTCTTTGTAGGATCCTGTGAGTTGCTGTGGAGTTCTTTAATCTCCTGCTTCCACCACGTGGCAGTTGAATTACGGAAAAAGTCTGGGAAGGCCACATAAGCTCGGTATTGCTGCAAAAGTAACAAAATTTACCTGTCAGAAACGAACACCTAGGACAGCAAATACTTCCTAAGAATTTAGCTCAAATAAACTTTTGTACTATGTGGTGGTTGACAGTCATAGCCAGAATAATATATCCTTGGCATATTTTAGAAATATTAAGTGCAGAGATAAATGAGCATAAACTACACACCTTTCTTTCCAATATTTATAAATTTTCTGGAGATTGTTTTCTTTTTCATGTCAACACTCTGAACATACTATCTCATGTTATAGATTCCTGAGCCTCAACTTCCTGACCCCTACTTCCTAATAACTATCCAGAGAGAAAGAAGGAGCCAGTGAGAATGTTTAGGAAACAAGATATTTTTTTGGTACTGAATTCTAAATTGGTTTTTAAAAAAAGATTTTTTTATCACACAAAACAAATGGATAACAATGGATAACAATTCATGATATCAGACTAACTCCTATGTATCTCTGCTATTTACTATTTCAAAGAGCACATAAAACACATAATTTTATGTTCATCAGTGCAAGATATGGCTGGGGGTCAAGAGCTCAGACTTGAGATAACGCTAGTACAGTAGGTAGAATTTTCATTAGTGCAAGCCAGAGATGTTCAATTACTGGGTTTTGATCTCTGAACACCTTGGTCCCTTTGAGAGCAATAGTGTTGCAGATGTAAAATGAAATCTTCACATTTTGGACTTGGTTTCATGGGTTTTAGACTGCACATCTTTATTTTCTGTTAGTAGATGCAGTAGACAAGAACAGAACCTGATTAGGGGATATTTCAACTATCAGTATAATTTATTCAAGCTCAGTTTATGTTTGATTTATATTACCAACAGAATCTATATATGGTTTGATCTATTTCCCTTCATCTTCCTTTCTTTTTCCTTTCTTACTTTCTACCTATTATCTATCATTTACTGTATGGTAAGACTTGCTTTTCATCACTTCTCACAGAAATTCAGTTGGCTCATGGGTACACAGGCCAGAGACTCAATTACACAGGTTCTACGGGATTTAATTGTTGACATTGGTAGAGATATCATTTCATCAATCATAGGATTGGCTGTTAACTTATAAGATCTATACTTCCTAGCCTTTAAAGCAACGTTGACCCTCATCTTTAGGCCCTTGATAATCTGAGAACAATGTTGGTAACATAAAAACTGGTGAAATACTATGTAACATTGAGCATGTAATGACCAGGAATCCTGAAGCTCTGATCCAGATAGTTTTTCACAAAGAAATATCAGGCCTTAAATCAGCCTTGGTATGAAATACTTTAGTAGCTATCCCATAAAATATTAAGACTATCCTAAGTGACTCGTGGGCAATAGAATAATCATAAGAAACATGTATTTTACAAGATCATTTTTATGAGTCTGATGAGGAAAAGCTTACTGAAGTCCAGATCAGTCATTGCTGATGCCTTTATGAAACAAACAGACCAGGAAAGAAGGCTGTGAACATAAGGCTTGTGACCTCAAGGCTCAAACCTTTAATCCCTAAGTGTAGACTTGGATCCAGAAAATATCTTTTGTTATTTTTGTAGTGAACTGAGGTAAGAAATCCTAGGGCCAGTCATACAGGTGGAATCATGTCATCAAAAATGAAGACCCATCAAATGGAGGAAAGATACAATCTGACAAGTGTTGATAATAGAAAGAATAAGGCAGAGCCAGCTCTTTGAACAGTGGTGGGTCATTTTTTAGTATACAGGTAAGGATCATCAAAGCTGTACATAGATTAATAAAACATTGCCAGCCTAATTTCCCACTTGTATTCTATAAGGGATTTAATTTGGGCTCAGAAATAGCTTATAACTCCTATTTATAATTTTATGCTCATCAGTATAAGATGTAAAGAGGAAGCTTCACCCTCTCATTCTCTTCATCTGCTCTCAAATAATAAAAGCAAGGTTCATATGAAAATTGGATCCCGGTTACCACCCTTCAACTGCATTGAAAGCTTTAGCGAGCTAAGGCTTTGACTAATATTTTTAGATTGCTCTTTGTACTCCCAAATGTAATTATCTTAGAACCTGAGAAGTAATTTTAAAATGATTATGAATTTTCATTGATTATTTATGGATTCATCCCAGTCAGAAACAGCAAGTATCAACAAAATCTTATATACTATTCCACTGCTGCTCATTTGGGGATGCTATGGTCTTTGGTATATTTTAATAAATGGCCTCCCCTATGTTATTCATCATGTTATGAGAGTCAAAGAGCTAAGAATCAGAGAGTCAAGAGTGAGAGAGTAGAAACAATAAGAAGAAAGCTTGGTCGGTGGGCTACAATTACACAGAGTCCAATGTCTAGACACAACACAAAATAGGATGCTTTCAAGTAAACAATTGCATCAAGATTCAGAGGTCTGTCTCAAAGAAGCTAGATCCTATTACACTCGGGCTCTTGATGAATTACTTTCTGGTGTATCTTTTTGTGAGAAATGGATGCAAGACAAAAAGATCTTTCTTTATATGACAAGCAAGAGGCCAAGCTCAGTTGGTGAGATCCTTACAGTGTGGAGGGGGAAGGGAAAGAGAATATGAATAAATAGGAGTTATAAGCTATTTCTGAGCCCAAATTAAATCCCTTATAGAATACAAGTGAGAAATTAGGCTGGCAGTGTTTTATTAATCTGTGTACAGCTTTGATGATCCTTACCTGTGTACTAAAAAATGACCCACCAGTGTTCAAAGAGCTGGCTCTGTCTTATTCTTTCTATTATCAACACTTGTCAGATTGTATCTTTCCTCCATTTGATGGGTCTTCATTTTTGATGACATGATTCCACCTGTATGATTGGCCCTAGGACTGCTTACCACAGTTCACCACAAAAATAGCAAAAGATATTTTCTGGATCCAAGTCTACACTTAGGGATTAAAGGTTTGAGCCTTGAGGTCACAAGCCTTATGTTCACAGCCTTCTTTCCTGGTCTGTTTGTTTCATAAAGGCATCAGCAATGACTGATCTGGACTTCAGTAAGCTTTTCCTCATCAGACTCATAAAAATGATCTTGTAAAATACATGTTTCTTATGATTATTCTATTGCCCAAGAGTCACTTAGGATAGCCTTAATATTTTATGGGATAGCTACTAAAGTATTTCTTACCAAGGCTGATTTAAGGCCTGATATTTCTTTGTGAAAAACTATCTGGATCAGAGCTTCAGGATTCCTGGTCATTACATGCTCAATGTTACATAGTATTTCACCAGTTTTTATGTTACCAACATTGTTCTCAGATTATCAAGGCCATAAAGACCAAGATCAACATTGCTTTAAAGGCTAGGAAGTATAGATCTTATAAGTTAACAGCCAATCCTATGATTGATGAAATGATATCTCTACCAGTGTCAACAATAAAATCCCACAGAAACTATGTAATTGAATGTCTCTGGCCTGTGTACCCATGAGCCAACTGAATTTCTGTGAGAAGTGATGAAAAGCAAGTCTTACCATACAGTAAATGATAGATAATAGATAGGTAGAAAGTAAGAAAGGAAGATGTTGGGAAATAGATCAAACCATATATAGATTCTGTTAGTAATATAAATCAAACATAAACTGAGCTTGAATAAATTATACTGATAGTTGAAATATCCCCTAATCAGGTTCTGTTCTTGTCTACTGCATCTACTAACAGAAAATAAAGATGTGCAGTCTAAAACCCATGAAACCAAGTCCAAAATGTGAAGATTTCATTTTACATCTGCAACACTATTGCTCTCAAAGGGACCAAGGTGTTCAGAGATCAAAACCCAGTAATTGAACATCTCTGGCTTGCACTAATGAAAATTCTACCTACTGTACTAGAGTTATCTCAAGTCTGAGATCTTGACCTCCAGTCATATTAGTTCTATGGAATATATGACTTCCTATCCAGGACTGAATTTGGCCTTGAAAATTAACTTCTCTGTGGAAAGTACGGATATTGATCCTAATTCCTGTCAGCCCCATTGCTGGTGGCCACAGTTGTTCTACATTACTAAAAACCTTGAGCATTGGCTAAAATCTGTACTTGAATAGTTTCCCAAAGAGTCTGTGGCTCCGGGTTTTTGTGTGTGAATAATATCTGCAATTACAACTACTGTGCTTTGTCCCCACAACAATGTCTAGCTAGTTAATTCTTAACCCTAATATAAGTTTTAGACATTGTAAGTTATACTGCTGATTGAGAATACAGACACAAGCTTCTTCATGTAATCACCCCTGACTAGATGACTAGGTGTCCTAGATAAACAGATCTTTTCATCAACTTTCCTGATTCTCTAGGCAAGCTGAAAAAAAGGAACACACACACACACACACACACGTCTGTCTGGAAATAATAATTATATGGAAGACGACTAAAGGTCAGATCAGGCACATATTCTCTAGGAGATTCCCACTCCTCCCTAATGACCCTGCTTAGATATTATCAGAGAATCAAACAATTGAGAAGAAACCAAACAGGATACATACCAGTCTGTTGGGTGAGCATCTTGGCCAGAATACAGACAAGAACAAGAGGAACCACATACTCATTCAAGCAACCAGCACATGCTAGTGTAGCTCAGGGGAAAACAGGTTCAGAGCCTAGTTTATTTCGATCATTTACAAAGAAGAACTTCCCCCCAGGAGAAAGAAAACGTATAATACAACGTTAGACTAAAGAGGTAAAAGCAACACTGAGACCCATAGCAGAGAACGAGTCTGAGGCAGGATTTGTAAGTATGGAGATAGAGAAGCCTGTCTTTAGGGAGAACATGAACACAGAAAAAATGTCTAATTGATAAAGACAAAGGTTAGAAATTATTTAAAAGGGATATCCTTTTAAAAGAGAAAAATGTTGCCTTAACAATAAGAACCACAATTCAGAGAGAAAAAAAATCCCTTAGAGCTATCTCCCAATTGAAAGGTTGTGGACCCTTGGATTCTGACAACTTTGGATTTGAAGTCACCATTATGCCTTTGATAACCATGGGCAAGTAACTTACATTCTCTGAGTCTTAGACCTTGAAAACAATAGAATTGACCTCACAATTGGAGACAAAACACAAATAGGAAAAAAATGTGTGTGTGTGAGGTCATTGGTACATGAATGACAGGAAGGACACATATCACAAGAGTATTTCCACTATGTTCAATAGCACTAACAGGAACTTTCAGAACTTTGTGTATGGCTTCCCTTTCAAGATAATCTTGACTTCACTCACTCAAAAGCCAGAAAGTCCCTCTTACCTCCAATTGATTGTCCCAGTCTAATGAAGAGTTCACAGTGACATTAGGATAATCAGGCCAGACCTGTGAGCAGAAAAAAAATCAATGTAAATGCCTCAGACAATTTGCCATACACAGAATTTCCTAGAAAACTATAAGCCACAGTCTTACAACTTCAGCCTTTGTATAGGATTGTTATATGGAGAAGTAGATTCCATGAACCTCTTAATATTGTCAGTAAACATTAGCTGTAAAATAAAACCAAAACCCCAATGACCAAATAGACTAGGTGAAAGACACCTTTACAAACATGATAACAGGTTCCTGCTCCAGGGTGAAGATTACTGAATGACTGCCCAGTTCATACCTTTCCCCAGACAATGCCTCCATCATTGGGATATCTGATGAAGACGTCATTCTCCACACCCTGGGTGAAGGCAGGGTAGGGCTGTGTCTCATTGCCAGAAATGGCTGGATCCTGCAGTCAGAGAACAGAGCAGTAAGAAATTACAATGGAAGATAGAGTGGTAGTAAGGGTTGGAGGGTTGTTATTCTCCAGTTTCAATTTGCACTGAAGTTTCCATGGTTCCCAAGAAATACACTTATATTAATTACAATTCTATTTCTTTCCTAGAACAGGAAAGGTCAGGCTGTCTAAGGTGATCTCCACACAACCCCACCCATTGTCCCATTCACAGCCACACATTCACACAGGGACTAACCAGAATGAGGATGACCCGCATCCCATCACCCTTCATGCGATTGATCAGGGCTGGAAACCCAGAGAACTTGGGGCTGAGCTTGAAGTCCAGCTGTCTCTCCATGTAGTCAATGTCTGAGTACTGCACATCCTAGGATGACACAAGGAAGACTGGCTGATGGTGGAGCCAGTCCAGGCTCCAGAAGAGAATATTTCTGTCCCAATCTAGTGATACCATATTCTGGGTTTGGTTTCTGGGATATTTTTCATTTTCTTTTTCTCATGTGACTTCAACCAACACCCAAAATAACATTTAGTCTAACATGAAAACAGAGGATGATGAATGATAAACCCTGTCTGGAAGCACTGTTGTAAATATAAGTAAAAGAACTATTAAAAACATGTGCTTTAAAAGCTTTTGCTATAGGGCATGGTTATGGTGACTTCCCACAGCAGGCTGCCCTTGGAATCAGTGGTTCTTGATCATAGAAACTATAATTAAGTGCTGATGAGATATGGACAGTAAGTCTGCTGTAAGTCAATACAACACAAAACAAAACCATGAAAGAACTGCAGAATTAATTTAATATATCACCTTAATGAGAAAAGCATATCTGATTACCCTCAGTATTGCTTTTCTGCAGTTCTTGAAAATAAGGTGAAGAACAGAACAATATACAGATAAAATCAATTAAATGTGAAAAAGAATCTAGATCAGATCTATTAGAAGCCTCTTGCCCTCGAGCAAGGCAGGTTGCCTCCAGATGTATTTCCTGTCCAAGACTTTGCATTTGGTAGAGCTGTGCTTTGGGGCCATAACAACTGTTTACAATGGACTGACTACTTGGATTCACTTTTTTCTTAGTTAAGCATAAGTACGATTGAGGAAATCTTTTAGTCTTATGAAAAGAACCTTATAACTAAATTTCTTGAGCCAACCCTAGTTCACTCTTAGTCTGAGTTACCAATGCTAAGATCCCCAGGAACAAGAATACACTATAGTAGTAACAGGCTCCACACAGATTTGCTTAGCTCTGGGGTTGCAGAGCCAGCACACCATGACAGCATGACATATACATACATAGGGGATCTGCTTAGCCACCATCTCATCATACAAGTTGGCAATCTCAGCATCATTCTCATATCCATAGCGACACAGCTGGAATCCCAGGGACCAGTAAGGTACCATCACAGGCCGACCAATCAACTAGAAAACAGACAGATAGTATTAGTATTTAAGGAGAAGTTTGAATGTACATTAAAGGAGAATATTTGACCAGTCCAAACTAAACAAACTCAACTCTAGAAGAATACTGGGGAGACACATCCTTCTTCCCTGATAACACCCTGAGAAAATTTTCCTGGGAGCCTAGAGGCTATTTACTAGGAATTCTGAAACAAATCTTAATTTCATTCTAACTTTTTTGAAATGATAATATTTTATTTTTTATTAATTATTTTATTTATTTACATTTCAAATGTTGTACCCCTTCCCTTAAATGAAGTTTAATGCCATGGTTAGGAGCATAAATACCATAGGTAAAACCCCTACCTTAACAAAGAGGCTCTAGTTCTGGCAGCTGTATGACCACAGGGAAGGTTACATGACTTTATTTTTCCTTATTTTCCCTCTCCTAAATTGGGATAAGAGTAATCTCTCACAGTATTTTATGAGTATTGAATGTGATAATGTCCATGAAGTGATCTAACATGTAGCAGCTAACTGATGTAAAAATGGCCACAATGGTGCATACCATTTCCATAGACACTCCATCACTGTCACTACCATAAATATAATTACCATTGCTTCATGGTCATCATAGCCCTCACCAACATTAGCATCAGTACCAGCAACACTAATAACATCATCCCTGCACTATCATCAACTGTCTTTCCGCCATTATCACAGTCATTATCAACATAACCATGACTTCCATATTACCACCGCTCCAAAATGAGTTTTCCACAAATACCCCTAACTCTATTACCATCACTCTCATACCTTTCACAATCATCATGTCCCCCACTACCATGACTCACTGCCACTGCTAATACCACCAGGATGCCTGCAACACTCTAACGACTAGAGACGCTATAAATGCAATGCTGTTGGAATGTAGGGACTGATCCCTTTTCTATAATATACTCTTTCTGATAAAACCAATGATTGTAATTACCATGTAAGAGTTACACTAATAAACAAACACATGACTGGGAGCAGAGGATGCGATAACATTAACACATGACAATCAAATGAGCTTCCTACCTCTGTGTACTGTTGAGTGACAAGCTCAGGAGTTGGCCCCAAAAATACATAAAAATCCAAAATTCCCCCTGTGGTACGGTATGTCAGAGCAGGCATGGGCTGGAATGTCACGTCTGAAAATAGAACAACATCAACAATAATGAAAGCCTTCAGGTTAACCAATTAGACTTGAAAGCTCTATTTCTCACTTCCATTTTATACCATTAGTGACAGACATTCTATACTAAACCAACATAGAACTGAGAAAGGAAAAACCCACAGCATCCTATCCCTTTAATGCTCCTTAATAGAGGTTTTAAAATTCTGAAAATTTAAATGATCATAATTTCTATAGCATAATAGCATAAAACTCATAAAAATGTCAAAGTAGCACTAAGTCTCAGTGTCCACCTCCTGTGGCTTCACTAGCAGCTACCATACATATTTCTGAACTTGACTTTCTGTCCCTTTCTTATGTAGCATAAAAATATTCCCAATCTCATTCTGCCAGAGGCAGTGTTCTAATCCAAAATCTTGGCAGTAATTCAAGTTATATAGCCAGTTGTCTCCAGCTGACACCCAGGAACTTGGGGACCCTCAGGAATTAGGATTTTGCTATGCCTTCTTATGTAAGTGTTTTACATAGTAGCAAATAAAAGTTTAGTGAACATAGCAATCATAAATCTCTAGGATAAAATGAAGGCTAAGCAGGAAAAAAAAACATTACTCAGAGATGTTATTTTTGACTTAAAATGTAACCAAGTCAAAAATCATTCTAAAGCAATTCAAGAATGATTGGCACACACTAAGAGGAGTCATCCTACCCATGGCATTGCTGTTCAACAGGAGGACTCCATGGGCATTGCCATCCTCCTCCAGCCCCATGTAGTAAGGGTGGACACCATAGGAATTCTTCTTATACTGGGAGAAATAGGAAGAAAAGAGGTTAGGAGACTGTGCATGAGAAAGAAAATCCACAGAAATTTGATTGCTAAGTTGAGTCTGCTTCCTCTGTTGAAAATATGTCCATTTGCCTAAAAGTAGAAGGGATCGATCAAGTGGCATCTGGAAAGAAGCAGACACCAAACAGTATGGAGGGAGGGAGAGAATTCAGACCACAAACACTCTGCCCTTACCCCTGGGGGTTCATCCCTGGAAAACATGCCCCACGTATGCCAGTTCAGGTCTATCTTGAAAGTTGTGTGCTCGGTTTCCCCAAATCCATAGATGTACTCAGAGGGCAGGCGGGTGGAGATGCGGATGAACATGTCATTGAAGGTGAAGCCAAGGAGCTGAGAGTCCCAGCTGCAGAGGAGAAGGGATATTTACAAAAGAAAGTCATCTCCCTGGTGGCTTCTAGCAGCTGTCCCTCAAACAAAACATAAATCTATCAGTGTAAAGAAATCTCAAATGCCTCCATTATTGGCCCAGTGGCCATCCTCTCATCTTCCTTCCATCGCTGCCTTTCCAAGTATCCTCTGCATAGCGGGAAATCCAAGCCATTCTCACTACCTCAACTGCTATCACTCACATGTGCCCTGCTCCTTGAGGACTGTCCTTCTGCAGGCATCCAGGTCACTGATTTAGAATGTTAAAGAAAGCAGTTCCTTGGAGTCAGACCAGGAATCACTTACATTACAGCGCCAGTACCCTTCCGACGAATTTCAATCCCAAATGGGTTCTCCTTGATGAGCACATCATAGAGGCGTCTCTCAGGGGTACTGGATGGAGCACTGGGGATGTTCAGAGGGACTGGGACTTCATACCGAGTGTGGTTTGGATCATAGATCTAGGCCAGAGGAAATGCATTTGAAGATACAGGTGGGAAAATAACGTCTGATGTTCTATAATACTGTTCTAATAAAGGCCTCATTTCTCTGTGGATTCTGTTGAGATACACTCTATTTTACTATGGAAAATTAAACACAAAACTGCATTTAAGGTTCTGTAGCCTTGACTTGCAAAGAGCATCAGGATTAGAAAGGCCCTGTCCATACTTGATAGCACACAAACCCTGTGTTTACCTTAAACTGCAGCATTTCGTCCTTGTGGTAAGTCACTTGTAGTTGTAGCTGATTCACGGGTGTAGAGGGGAAGGCATTACTAAAAGGTGAAGCCTTCAAGGAGATGCTGGCTGTGGCCCCATGTGAGTCATACTGAACATTGCTGACTGAGTGCAGCTCATTGACGAAGTAGCAAAAAGGGACCCCAGAAGAGCTGGATACCTGGAAAGAAAGTCAATATCCTAGATCAGCAGGGGATCCTGAATTATCAAATAGAAAGTGTTGAAAGGGCAATTTATATGAAGGTGGTGTGTGTGTGTATGTGTGTGTGTGTGTGTGTGTGTGTGTGTGTGATTTTATACATACTACATCTTAATATCTGGTCTTCAAAAAATGTACTTACTAAAAATATCCCCAGTAATGCTTCAATCTTCACCAGATTCCTTTCCCCCTATGAATTTGAGGCTATGCAAAAGTATGCCAATATGCCATGTTCATGAAACATTGAGTAGTGTTAGTGCATGTGCGTACACGCACACACACACACACACACACACACACACACACACATCTTCAGCTCCATTACCTCCCAGACACAGCCTCGGGCAGTGCAGCTTGCTTCAGAAGCCCCATATTGATCTGGGTAGCAATCTATCTTTTCCTCATCTCTAATGCTGTCATCCCACTCCACTGTATAAGATTCATTCAGGAGAAGTTGGATACCCGTAATAACTGCAACCTGTACGATGAACAAGGCACAAGAAATTTATCATTAGAAACAAAGCCCTCAACCTAGAATTGACCTTAATACTTTCACATAATTAAAATGATACAAAAGCAAAAAACAAAAAAAAACTCAATAAAAATGGATAAAAGAAAAAAAGCCCTACACAATCAGAAAATCTAGAAAATTAAGTAGAAATGAAAACAGAGTCTCTAAACAATCAAGGCACATTACTGTCTTAAAGGAGGAGAGCTATGTATTAGATGTGAACCTATCAGCAGCAACGGGGAAATGTCAGTCCACGACTCCGTTAGTCTCTATTACATGGTGTAATTATTGGGACAAATAACAGTTGTGTTCCTTTTCAATCCTTCCCTGATCTATCTGTCCCTATTTATTGTGTCATAAATATCCTCTTCCGCTCTTCTACAGTCTAGCCTTTCCTCTTGTGCTTCTCTCCCCAGAGCAGTGTGTCCCTGTCAGTGTGGGCACATAGAGAACACGTAGTATCAAGTACAGTCTCAGGTTCCTGTGAAGGTTAAAGTTGTCAGCTTCCCCTACACGGGAATCCCCTGGAAGCTGGGTCTAGGACCATGCAAGTGGGAGATTATCTTCACTGCATTGACTGAGGAGGGAGTATCTGTCCAGTGTGAGTGATGTTACCCTGTCTTGGATCCTGGGATGGGTAACAGTACTCACTCATCGCTCTCTGCCTTCTGTTTGTGATTGTGATGTAACCAAATACTTCAAGCTCCTGACATCTTGATTTTCCCACCATGATGGACCAAATCTTTTTTTTTTTTAAAGATTTATTTATTTATTTTATATATGTGAGTATACTGTTGCTGTCTTCAGACACACCTGAAGAGGGCACCTGGTCCTATTGCAAATTGTTGTGAGCCACCATGTGGTTATTGGGAATTGAACTAAGAACTTTTAGAAGAGCAGGCAGTGCTCTTAATTACTGAGCTATCTCTCTATCCCCCGATGGACCAGACCTTAAAAACCATGAGCCAGAACAAGTATTTCCTTCTCTACTTGGCTTTGCCATTGCATTTTATATTAAAAAAAAGGCAGCTCTCATATTTCTGTGAGATATTAGCCAAACTAAATGAATTTGTTGAATATCATTTAACCGCTTGTTAAACTAGTGAGTTGGGGGTAGGGGGGAGAATTACATTTCTTTCCATTCCTAGCATTAATCTAAGATCATCTGCTTAAATCGTGAAGTATTCTGATATCCTACTTATCAAATTAAATATGCAACATTTTCTCTAATCTTTTTTTAATATTTAACTCTTATTTAAAACCTTTTCATTTTTTTTTACTGAGGAAAGGTGACATTTTAAGAACTATCCTGATTCTCTTAATCTCCTCCTGATCTGAATACTTTTCCATCTCACCAACTCTAACTTCCACTACCATTTCTAACAAGATTCAAGAACTATTTTAAGAGTCTTTGAAAATTAAATCAAGTGACCTTCATAGTTTACCACCTAAGATTCTACAAAATCTGACCACGTGTTTCCTCTAGAATAAACTGATCTCCAAGTGTTTCCTTCTCCCTTCTCTATCAGCTTTACCTATGCCATCCTCTTTTTACTACCTTTCCTTTTTGCTTAATTTGTTTCCCCTTTTCTCTCTCTTAGTGTTGAAGTTAGAATCTTGATACTGAAGAAAAAAAGGGGGAAAAGCATTAAAACTTAAAAAAAAATAACCTTAACATATTAGGCCTCAGCGCTGGCCATTGACTCTCGGATCTGCATTCATTTAACCTGACCTCTGCTTTCCTATCTGTGCTATTCATGTTCATGTATGTGTATGTACATATATAACACACACACAAATAAGTATGCATGTGAGTCTGTATGTCTGTGTGTCTGTGGATGTCTGTATATGTATGTACCTGTGTTGGCTAAGGTTGTATCACCTTCCAGTGAAAAATTATCTTGTTATCATCAAATCCAGTACATAATAATCATTTGGATATGATCTTCAAATTATTTTGTCTTAAATATGTCATTAAACTGTATATGTGTTTTGGAGTGTGTATGTGTGAATACATATATATGATATGTATATCATATATGTATATGCATACATATATGTATATGTGTGTATATATGATATGTATATCACATATGTATATACATATATATGTATGTATATATATGTTCTTTCTCCTGTCGCCAGGAGAAAGAACTCGGGGAGAAGCAGCTTATCTGGGTACCTGGGAAGCAAAACAGACAGTTCCAAATGAATGAAGTACAGGCCTGCATTCCTCTCCTGACATATCCCCAGTGTTCTCTGTGGTGGAGGCTTCCTGCACTGAGTTGCAGGAATATGTATCATATATGTATATACATATGTGATATACATATCATATATATGTATGACTTTTATATATATATGAGACATATATGTGACTTATTTGTATGTATATTATCTACATGTATATTATATATGTATGTGTATGATAATAAAATTTGTAAGAGAACAGAACTCTTGAGAGACAGTAAGAGTCAATTTGGGAAAACAACAAAACAAAACCAAAAACATCTGCCTTTATCATCGTTGCCCCAGCAGCTCCCTGACTCATTCCACCTCAGACATGTCACCACATGTCCCACATGTCACCACAGTTCCTGACAGTCTGACTTATCCATCAGAGGTGCAGTTATCCTTTGAAAACCACAGTGACTTTTACAAAAAGAATCACCATAGTTCTAATTTGAAAAACCTCAACAAAATAGAGACTTACCTTCATGTTTGGATCGTAACTGACTTGAGACTTCTGAGTTACCATACCATTGTATTTCACTGTAACATTGTAAAGTGCCTCTGTTCCAAAAATTTTAATCTCCTGAAATGCTAATTTGTCGGGGTTTGTGTAAGTTGATTCTAAAGTGCTCACATCCAAGCGGTTCTGAAATACATCAAGCATCAGTATGCACACATGAATGAACTGAGGTTCTGGAGGCCCCCAAATGCCAAATCCTAGAGCAGATGTTCAACAGCTGGGAAAGCCTCTGAGTAGAGAGTATCTACTAGTATATGCTTAGGAGAGAAAATGAGGACATGCAGACAGACCTTTTACTTAACTATATAAAGACACTGGTGGCATGAAACCATTCAATTAGAAAATACTACTTGCTTTGATTTATGAGTATTGCTGCCTCCTTTTGAGAGCATGAGTAATGAAATTACTGGGAATTAAGTCATAAACAGGAATGTGTACACCCATAGCCATTGCAGCAAATGTAGTCACATGCACACACATGCCAATAAATGTTGTCCGATAAAAGCCTATACTTCAGATTCCTGAATATTTTCTACTTACTTGAGTGACCAAAAATTTACACAGAATGTTATTGGTTGTGAGATCTGAAAACAAAAGAGAGATGAGTCAGACTAACATGGCCACCACAAAAGGACAAATTTATGTCCTCTCCTTAAAGCTGAGAGTCAATTTCAAAAAACAAAGAAGTATGCCTTTTATGACAGATGAATCTAGTAATACCACCTCTTCATTCATCAATCAGTGAAAACAAGTTATTTGTATTTCCTGCCTACTGGCAACAATGCCACAATGAACGTAGAGCCCAGATTCTCTTTGATAAGCTCATTTCATAGACACACATATGTGTGTGTTGAGAATTGGAATGATTGTATCATAAAGTCATTTTATTTTCAACTTTTTTCCCAATGGCTAGACCAACTTCTATTTCTACAAAAGAATGTCAGTGGACCCTCTGGGTTTCTGCATCTGCACTAATTCTTGATACAGTTAATTATTTCATACTGCTCATCCTGCAAGATGTGGGGTGATACCTCATTATAAAATTTATTTAAATCTGAATTTATTGCAAATGCTCACCATTTTCTCATGTATCGGTACACTCCATGTGTGTACTCTCTGAAAGAGTATCTATTGAGACATTTTCCCTATTTTAAAATCACATTATGATTCCCCTTTTTCAATTTTTTAAGAGTATTTCTTATATCTTCACATTGACTTTTTTGTCAAACACATAATTTGCTCCATTTTCTCCTACTTTGTGAGCTGCCTTTGAAAACTATCAGTTTTCTTTTTCTGTATAGAAGACTTCAAGGTTTATGTAGTAGTTTCTGTCATTGGCTTTGTCTATGAAGACTGGTAATAAAGAATATTTTCCCTATTCTTTTCCTAGAAGACTTATTTGTGCTCAGTGCTTAACTTGAAATCTTGCACACATTTTACAATAGTGAAGATATGACAATACTTAGAAGTCCATGAAAAGATGGTGGGAAAATAAACCATGGAACATGTGCAACACAGAGTTATCAGCAAATGGGACCACAAAAATGCTGTACCATGTGACCTTTCATGAGCCTAAGGCACATCATATCAAATGAAGGGAGCTAGGCACAAAGAGAAATACTTAGCCACCATATTAACATGTGATTTGAAAAAAAATTTTAAACAGTGCATGGAACTGTTGTTGCCAAGGGCAGGGGAGTAGAGAAGTCACTTGATGGGCAGAGACATTGAGTTATATGAGCATGTTCTGGGAATAAAATATATGGCATGGGTGAAACTGGATGTCTTCATTCTTGATCATATTGATGGTAATCAGTAAATGATTAATATGTCAAAGACATCTGTAGAGAGAATATTTTATGTCTGTATGGATGTGGCACCTGTCAATAATAAATATGATAGAGTTCCTAGTTAGGCAGGAAGTAGGAGGTAGAACATCCTGGAGGAGAAAGAATTCTGGGATAGAGCTAGGCAGGAGATTCAACTGTGAAAATGTGAAGAAATGATAAATTGAGTGCATGGTACCTAAGCACAAGTAACCAGCCATGTGGCACAACATAGGTTAAAATAAATGATTTTTCTTAATTTATGAATTTAGCTGGAGAAAAGCTAAGCCATATGGCCAAGGTATTTGTAAATATAGTTTAAGTCTGAGTCTTAATTCTGGGAGCATGGGACTGGGAGGAAGAACCAGACCTAACTTCTTCAGATGTTGAGTATTTTCAAACTTTTTCAATCCATTATTTCAAATAAAGCTAAGATTTTAAAAATTGTATTTTGAGAATGATAAAATTATAAATGAAGTATACAAGTCCAAGCAATGGTTTTTCTTTTTCTTTGCTATTATCACCCTTCAAAGAGTTCCCCAAATGTTTCCATAGCACATGATCTATGGGAATCTATTTCCTAAGCTAGAGTCACAAGATCATTATTGCACAGCAACTGATGTGCATTAAAGCACCGATTGATGTATCCATAGGCAGTAAGAATGTGTATGCCTATCACCAATGTTCATCACCCAGGATTTAGGGATAATATACATTTCAGAGCATATGAACTAAAGCACCAGTCATGAAACGGTGTCCCTTAAAGGTCTGTTAAAAAAATAAGAGTCAAGCCAAAAGAATTTGGGGGGTATGTTCTCCTTCCATCTATGGTTCATCTATCATGGCCACTGGCCAATATGACCAGAAGCAATTTTTTTTTCTGGGTTACTGCTGCTAGGATGCCTGGTGAGGTTTCACCCTCAGGTGAATGACCAGCAGGAAGAAAGGGACAGAGTCTGGTGCAGATTTTCAGTGACCACACCCTCTCAAGACACTCACCCTTTGACTGTCCATCATCCCAGAACAGTTCTCCTCTTGCTTCTTTGTTCTCATCCAGAGCAATGAGAAGACCAAGAGGATTCTTCCGACTGTGGAAAACAGATTCACACAAGACACAAATTCTTAGGACTCAAAGGATTTTACCAAACATTTGCATCAAATTTCAACTGAGAGTCATTCACACATGACTCTTTTGCTTTAGGGATGGAAGGAGAATATAAGTGTCTTCCTCTTATATTATAATATATTCCTCTTATAAAATAATAATTTTATAAAATAAAGTATTTTAAACATCTATGAAGGGTTTAATCATGAAAGCCTCAGATTTTCTGAACCACCCCCATAATTAACATTAAAATTGCAGCTCTATTCACAAAATGGGTCATTAAGAGAGGAACAAAATCCTACACAATGTTGCTACAATCCTGGGCATTTTAGACATCCTATTCCAGAAGAATCTCAGTGATTTGAAAGTTAAATCTATAAGTGTCAATGATGAGAAATGAATAATTAGATAAGTAGGGACAAATAGACTAGGGATATGCTGAGATCACTCAGTGCTAAATCAACTGCCTAGCTAGTATCTTCACCCTGATCCTTAGGTCAAAGTTAATAAAAGCATAAACTCAAGTGCTATAAAACAAATGACTATACTGGAAAGTAGCATTTTGGGGACATTAAAAGCCATCTCCATTATTAACATATTGAAAAAGATAGTGTTATCAAAGTCAACTTAGAGTCACATTTTCATAGGCAAGGGTTATTGTTGGAGGGTTCAAACTTTTAACTAGGGAGGAACAAGAGTTTAATTTTTGAATCAGAAATTCAGTATCAGCACAAACTGATGCACAAATTGATTTGAAACTGGTTATTTGACAGAGAGAGGGGGAGGGTGGAGGGGGAAGAGTAATGATATTTAGTCATTTTTTCTTAAGAGGGACTAAGTTAAAAGACTAAAGAAGTGGGAGAGTTTCAAAGGAAAAGGTAGTTTTTAAGCCCCCTAAGAAGTCCCTCTCTACTGATACCCACCAGAATTAAACTTTTAAACATATGAGAATTCCAATAAGTAACTCTTTCATAGAGATAGAATTATAATTGTGTAAGTGAAGATGAGAAAAAGTTAGTGGCTCAGGAAAAGTGGGAGAGATAAGTCTGTGTTGTTAAAATCCAATTACAGATTTGAAAAGGGGCTCAGACATTGATCAGAAACAGGAAACTGGGTTTTTAGGAGCATAGTCAACTGTTCCCAAGTCTAGGGCAGAGGTGGTGTGAGACCTGAGCAGACCAACTCTCACCAGGCCACATCAGGTAGGAAGACATTGCACAGACTTGAACCTTCTCAAGTCATGAGACTTACAATGTCAAAATGGCGGCAGCCCTGAGAGAGCCAGGGATACTGACCACCCCAATTGTCAATTTATCCTCAAAGTTAAGGTGAGTAAGGAGAAAAAGGAAAGTCTTTCCAAGTCCAGTAGGGTGGTGCTCTGTCAAGATCACATAGGGTAGAGACATGGAGGAAATCCAAGAGCAGACAATACTCACACACACACACACACACACACACACAAACCCACACACACAAACCCACAACATAAACCTGATGGATGAAACAGATAAAATACAAAACTGATACTGGAGAGATGACTGACTCTCATGGCAAGAGTGAGCTCAGAGGTGTACAAAGCACAACCACATTGTCCTTATTCACCTTAAGTGAGTGTTCAGGGCAGGCCGTTGCCATGGCAGGATGTAACCCCCTCGGACATGAAGATTGATGTGCTCAAGAGGGGCTGGTAAGGTCTTCCACTCTCCTGTAGAATTGATACTTGCACCCTGGTGTCAAAAGGAGGACACATGATGAGGTAACCACACACTTCTCCCTGAGCAACATACCCCACCCACCTCCCTAAACCTGCTGCTAGGTCATCACCATCCATCCATCGCAAACCTCATTTCCTCCTTTGGTCATTCACTTGCTGCTGCATGGAGCCTGGTTGTGCTTCTCCACATCTCCAGGAAAGTCTCTGCTCTTTGCAGGATCTCATACAGATCCCCAGTACCCTCACTATATACTCTGTTTCTAAGGCAAGGTGGTACTGGATAATATCTGCATTTATTTCTTGTTGACTGGGGATATGCTGTCCCTTCTTCTACCCCCGCCAAGTGCCTAATACCTTTGATATATGCTCCATTGCAAAGATCAGTGTGAGCAGACTTATTTATGTCTTAGTGTCTTGAGTTGAATTTTTCTGTTACATTTAACACCTTTACCTGTCCTCATGTGTGAAAGGTGCTCACTCATCTGAGTCATAACTTAAAAATTCTTTCACTTTTTTCAGCCACAGCAGGGCTTCATAATGCAGGTACTTTTTAAATTTTTTTTCTTTCATTGAAAATAGACTATTTTCATACAATATATTCTAATTATGTTTTCTCCTCTCTCTACTCCTCCAAGTTCCTCCCCATCTCCCTGCCTATTCAGACTCATCACTTTTCTGCCTCTCCCTACCAAAAAAAAAAGACATCTAAGTGATTATAATATAATAAAGCAAAACCAAGCAAATTAGGATTGGACAAAACAAACAGAAGGAAGAGCCCAAGAAAAGGCAGAAGAAAAAGATATAGATGAGGTGTCACACTCATTCACACATTCAAGAATATCATGAAACCAGATAAAACAGAAGCCATAATTTATGCCAAAAGCTATAGGCTAATACATACATACATACATACATACATACATACACACATACAAGTAAATGTAAAAAATACAATACAATATAATACGATACAATACAATACAATACAATACAATACAATACAATACAATACAAT